TTTGGCCGGGGAGAAGGGCTTCTGGAGTTTTCCCTGTAGTGTCTCCGCGGGGGAGAAGGGTGTCGGGCTTCAGTCACCCGAGGAGGGGGAGTATGTGGTCTCTGATGTCTCCTTGAGGGTCTTCGCTCGTCCTCAAGCGCCTTTAATCTCTCTCCTTGGGAGACGATGAGATAGTTCGTTTGATTAATTGCTGCGAACAACGCTTGTGTGGTGGCATCTGCCCCGGAGGGGACGGGGACTTCCTGAAACCGGGCGACTCTGTAGTGGGCGAGGGCCGCCGGGTCATCCTCGAGCGGTGGTGGGAGCGAGGAGGATGATGCAGTAGCCCCGTCCCTGTATGAGGAAGTTCCGGGGACGGTTGTTGCAGGAATGGTGTTGTGGCCGGGATTGCCGGCGTTGTCGAGATGTCCGTTCTTGTCCGCCGTGCCGTTATTAGTGTCGGCGACACGAACGTTCTGCTCATCGCGAGCTGGATCAACCATGACAGGTATTTGAATATGAGCTTTGGTCTTTTGAGTTGTTTGTAAGACGGGGAAGCTTGTTTCCCACAGACGGCGCCACTGATCTAACCTGATCAGACTTGGACCGTCACGGCTGGCTCCGAGCCGAAAGTTTTGAACGAGGTTGGGGGGGTACCTGCAAGACACTCCGATGTCGAAGTAAGTAGAAGCACGAGCAGGCAATAGTAAGTATGGGTAGAATGATGAATACCTGACCCTCTGGAAACAGAGGGTATTTATAGCCCCCAGCGCTGGGCCAAGGTTCCTTCATTGGGTCGGGCAGGTTTGGCCCAATGAAGGAACTGCCAGGTTCTACGTGCGTAGTGGGGACCCGCACGTGGTCCCCTCCCTGGATGTTCTGCGTGAAGTGCGGGTGGACAGAGACGCGGTCTTTTCGGGGTCTCGTTGGGAGTGCAGTGGACTGAGTCTGCCCTAGTTGGGGTGCTCGAGTTAATGTCGAGCTGGACAGCAGAATATCGAGCTGGACAGTTGGAGGCCGAGCAAGTAACCTCAGGGAGCACGTCGGGCACGACTGTGACCCTTTGATCGGCGTGGCCTTCAGCAAGTCCGTTTGGATTGGGTCTTATCAATGCTATTGGGCCTGTCGGGCCCAGTCCAGAACAACACTCACCCACCCAGACAACTAATTCTAAATCAAACAATAATCGATATTGTTAAACTAGACGTTAATATTAGAGTTTGAATACTTATTCACATAATTTTAAGTGTAGGTTTTTAATAATTGTTATTATTTTATATTAGTGGTGGAATCAGCAATTTTAGATAATTTAGATAAAAAATTTATTCACAAATTACATGTGACATAATACATCAATAATAAAAAATTTCACACTTTATTTTTATTAATTTTGTTTTTAATTTTTGTCTAAAAATCGACTATTAAATTAGAATAATATAAAAAATAAGGATTAAATCGGGACATGTACCCAATTTTGCTAGACTATAAAACGCCATTCCTTTATCTATGGATAAATAAATAAAAATTATCAGCATTAACATCAAAGCTAAATCAATCCAAAACACACTTTTTTTGTTTCGTTTTGAAAATTAATTATTCAATCTTAAAATCATCTATTAATTTAGAGAATTATTAATGTTGGAATAATATAGCAAGTGTGAGTAAGTGAGGAAATAGTCTCATATTATATAGAAATGTGGAGACTTAATCATATATAAGTGGGAGAACCCACTCATCTATCACCTTAAGATTTTAGGTGAATAAATGATGTGTCTCTCACAAAGGTGTTTAGTCCTACACTATGTATCAATGCTTCTAGTATCTCCCCCAATAAATTGTATTAGAGCCAAGTTCGAGAAAGAGACCGGAAGAGACTTGTATCGAAATGCGTTCAGGAAGTGGTGTTCCGTTGCAAAATGTCAATGACAGTACAAGTAAAGGAGCATTGTGGACTCACATTTTAGGGGGAGTGTTGGAATAATATAGCAAGTGTGAGTAAGTGAGAAAATAGTCACAAATTTGATAGAAATGTGGAGACTTAAACATTCACCTATCACTTTAAAATTTTAGATGGATAAATAGTGTGTCTTTCAAAAAAAATACCTAATATTATATTATATATATCAATATTCATAATATCTCCCCCCAACAATTAACCCAAGAATTATTAACACTAACGAAATTATTAATTAATTAAAGAGGTTTAAAAAAAAACTCCACCGAGAGTGACATGATTAAAGTGTTAAGTGTACACTCCCCTCATTACCTAAAGAGTGTCATTATATCCAATCCAAAATCCAACATCAAATGATTCTCTCAAATCTACAAATATTCAATTCCTGCAAAACTCACATGCATAATTCATTAACTGTACACACGCACACATAAAAACTTGTGTGATCTAAACTCAACCTACTAGTACTATTTTTAACCTTTACTTGTAATAGATGCTGTTTTACTTACAACCCTGCAACAAGTTGTAGTACAACCTTTCCATTTTTTCAAACACACTTACTTGTTCTCCAATTCCAAAGATCTTGAAACATGTTTTCTATGATCTTGTTTCAGAATCCTCGTCAGCACCAAGGTTCAAAAAATTTCTATGATAGTATAAAAGTAAAAATGAATCATTCGTCGTGCAGTGTGTGTAATTGCAGATACACATACACACTCAATCACTCCTTTCAATTCCAGCTCCCAACCCAATTAGATTAGGTCCCATTTCTGATATCTTCCAAACCCAAACACACTAAATTCCAAATTCCCTTTTTGTCATTTTGTTCATACTCTTTGCTCTGCTGTTTTCCTTTGTACTTACTTGCCCCACCCACTCATTCTCTTCCATTCAATTACACCATTCTTTTACTCCATCCAATAAATCACAAAAAAAATTAGAGAATAATATTTTTATTATATTACTCTAATCATGTATCATCATTTATTTTAGAATATTATTTTATTCGAAATAGATATGAGACCGAGGAAATATATAAATTGATTATATCTGTACATAATTATAAATATCAATTCCTCAAATGGAGAAAAACTATAAATTTAAATTTTTTTATATAGTAATTATTAACATAACTGATAAACATTTACAAATAATTAATCGTATTTTTTAATTAAAAAATAAAATAACATTTGTAACAGATAATTTAATTGAAAAATAATAGCATAAATCAGTTCAATATTTTTTTCTCTACTTTATTATAACAATCATTTCATAATTTCTATTAAAAAAATTAAATTTTAAATAAATTTAAAATTTTGATTTAAAATAAATTTAAAATTTTGATTTAAAATATTAACACGTTATTAATTGATTGTCACTACTATCTCATGAATGTAGGGAGAAATATTTGTATGAAAACAAATTTGTATTCATATTCTTAAAAACATTTATTAAGAAGAGAAATTTTTTTTATATTTATTTAAAATTTAATTTATTTTTTACTTAGATTCATGAGGTGGTTGTCATTGAGTAGAAGAGAAAAACATTTATTTTTGTTTTTTTAATTAATAAAAGTTATTATTAATTGTTTGTAAAATCATGTGTTGCGATCATTTTCATATAAATTTTTTCTTAAATATAGGTACATTTTGAATCAAAAAATTTTCTTAATTATTTTTAGATAATAACTAAAACAACATATAACACAACATGTAAGCTTTTAAAAACAATCCTCCCTCATAAAAATGTAATACTGCTATTTGAACCTAAAATTTCTAGTTAAGGTGTTACAATTATTTAATGTATATTTGATATATAAAATAAAGGCCGAGAAACGATCATATCTATTCTGTTTAAGTTCTCTTCACAAAAGCTTAAAAAAACGATAAAGAATACATAATTGAAGATACATGATTAAAACCTCAACTCATCTCGTTAAAAAATAAGGGTGAGACTCTGAGAAACTTTGCATCCTTAAAAACTTAAAATTGTAAATTTTTTATACTAATATCTGCAAATACTAACAAAGAAATGAAATAGGGTAAAACAGACTTATTAGAAAGTATGAAAATAAAACTTTGACTCATTTAAAAAAGCATACAAAAAATTAGGAATGAGAAAATAAATCTGATTCGTTGGACATGTCTGTTTTGTCGTACTTTAGTGTAGAACGAAGTAAAAATTTAAGCCATCACTCTCTAATGTATCTGTCTCGTCCCGTCTCATTTTCTTCACAAGCTTTTACAAACACAAACATTAATATAAAATTTACATTTTTAAGCTTAAAATATGTAGTACTCGTTGGTTTTTTCGACCATACACTCATTTTTTTGCAGAACAAACTTAAGTTTTAGACTTTCATCCTCAACTATGTTCACTCCGCTCAACCCCATATATAAATAAATAATTTAACTAATGTTCAAATATAATAGAGAATCAAAAGTACAATGAAACCAAATATTTATCTATATGGACTAATTAAAGCATATATAATAACATCAGTTTTATAAAATTATTGTTTGAGAAAATTTATGAAAACAACTTATAACATTATTCATAAGATTCTTTTAAGTTTATTTTCACAAGTTATTCAAGATAATTAAATTTTACTTATTTATTTATTTTAATATAAAAAATAAAATATAATACAAAAAATAATAAATTTATTTATATTTTTTAAAATAAACCAGTTTAATTGGTTTAAAATGTATTTTTAATGATATGTAACCTAATTTATTTAATTAAATAAACTTATAAAAAATTTTAAAATTTTTTTTATTTAAAAAAAACTGACCTAACATTGATCTAGATGATAAAACTCTGTTAATTGATCTGATTTATTCTCCCCTTAATACTCGCCAGCAGAACCAATTTTGGCACCACAATTAAAACATATAAAACCTTCTTTTTGTCTTTTTCATTATTCTCCATTCCCCACTATACCCCCACCTTAACTCCTCTATAAATACATCACCACCCTCTCATTAAATATTACATTTACATTCTCTCATTTTGATCATTTATAACACAAACTTAACAACCAGTATATTTTCTTCATTTCATTAGAATGAAAGAATATTGGACTTCTCTAGCCTCAATTCTCGGCGTATTCGCTTTCTGTCAAACAATACTCCAAACCGTTTTCCCACCAGAGCTTCGTTTCGCTACAGCCAAACTCTTGAACAAAATCTTCAACTGTTTCTCATCCTACTGTTACTTCGAAATCACCGAAATCGACGGCGTTAACACCAACGAACTCTACAACGCCGTCCAGCTTTACCTAAGCTCCTCCGTCTCAATCACCGGCAACCGTTTAAGCCTAACACGCGCCGTCAACTCCAGCGCCTTCACCTTCGGCCTCGCAAACAATGACAGCATCGTTGACACGTTCAACGGCGTCAACGTCGTCTGGGAGCACGTCGTCACTCAGAGAAACTCTCAGACATTCTCATGGCGTCCGTTACCAGACGAAAAACGTGGGTTCACTCTTCGGATTAAGAAGAAAGACAAATGTTTGATCCTGAACAATTATTTGGATTACATTATGGAGAAAGCGAGTGATATTCGGAGGAAAAATCAGGATCGTTTGTTGTATACGAATTCTCGAGGTGGATCGTTGGATTCTAGAGGCCATCCATGGGAATCTGTGCCGTTTAAACATCCAAGCACTTTTGATACATTGGCTATGGATCCTGAGAAAAAGCAAGAGATTATGAATGATCTTGAAGATTTTGCTAATGGACAAGGGTTTTATCATAAAACTGGTAGGGCTTGGAAGAGAGGTTATCTTCTTTATGGGCCACCGGGAACTGGAAAATCTAGCATGATTGCTGCTATGGCTAATTTTCTTGGTTATGATATTTATGACCTGGAGTTAACTGAAGTCCATAATAATTCTGAACTGAGAAAGCTTCTCATGAAGACGAGTTCGAAATCTATTATTGTTATTGAGGATATTGATTGTTCTATTAACCTCACTAATAGAAAAAACAATAAAAACAATGTTTTGAGTTCGAGTTCGGGTTCGGGTTTGGGTTGTTCTAGAAGTTATTATGAGTCTGGTTTAGGTGAGATCAGAGGTGGTGCTGGTGGTGGTGAAGAGAATGGGAATTCGATAACTCTTTCTGGGTTGTTGAATTTTACTGATGGGTTATGGTCATGTTGCGGGAGTGAGAGGATATTTGTGTTTACTACAAACCACATTGAGAAGCTTGATCCTGCTTTGTTGAGGAGTGGGAGAATGGATATGCATATTTTCATGAGTTATTGTTCTATGCAAGCTTTGAAGATATTGTTGAAGAATTACTTGGGGTGTGAGGAAGGTGTTGATTTGGATGAGTATGTTATGAAGGAGTTGGAGGAGGTTATTGGAATGGCGAGGATGACACCGGCGGATATAAGTGAGGTTTTGATCAAGAATCGGAGGAAGAAGGAGAGAGCTGTGGATGAGTTGTTGGAGATTTTCAAGGTGAGAGCAAAGAAGAATGGGAAAAATGGTGAAGGAGATGAAGATGATGATGAGGAGGAAGAGGAACAAGAGAAAAGGGCACTTGATAGTGATAGTCCTAAACAAGAATCTGAGGTTGAAGATGATTGCAAGGAAGCTTCGGAGGAAGAAGAGAAAATTAAGTGATTTTTTTATCATAAAAGATGTAATAGTAGTAGTATTATTGAAGAACAGGGGAAACAAACATGTTAGATACTTGTGTTTTACTTTGTCTATCTTGTTATTTTTGAATGATTATGATAATTAACTATTTTTGAATGATTATTCTGTTATTAGGAGTAATTTGGAACTAAGTACTGTTTGGTTGAAGATTTGTTTTGAGGATAGTGAGGTTTAGGACTTTACAACCTGATTTAGTTGGGAAACCAGCTGGGAGGTTGGTAAACACCTGGGGTGCACATGGAATGGAAAAGGCTAGAACTCTGATAGGACTTGTAGGGAATATGAGTATTAAGTAGGGTAGCAATCATACCTAATAATGAAAAAAAATATTAAATTGAATTATAGTAATATAAATGAGGTTGGGGTAAGCTAAGCTATTTAAAAAATTTCAGTTTTTATAGCAAATCATATCAAATATAAAAACTATGAAAAATAGTTATTTTATTAATTTATAAAATTATTACTACATATATTATTACATAGTATTAAATTATATATGATTTTAAAATATTTCCTACTTGTTAACTCAAATAAAATTGGATTTAACTCCAATTTATTTCCATTTAAATATTATTTAATTTAAAATTTTATTATAACATTTTAAAATTTTTGCTTGTAAAAGAAAAAGAAATCTGAATGAATCACAATGTTCTTTTAAATGTTATTTATTAGATATAATAAATAATTAAGGAAATATATAAAAATCATGTTTATTTTGGAGATTTTTTAGGCGATCTTTACCCTGTTTATCCTCCAAATGCCAATGCTACTTTCTACCCCGTCTCTATTCCTATTGTTTTTTGAGCAACTTCTCTCGTCATTACGAAGGTTTAATGAAACATAACTTGATAGTTGAATTGAATTTTAAAATTAAAATTTTTTCGATCATTCAAATTTAAACAACACAAAATCAACAACGATAAAGAATACAATATATTTTATCCTGGTACACCGACAATTAGGTTACTTTCAGTCTTCATATTAAGGTGACTTTGCCTTTTCAATAAAGACCTAATCAACTAATCAAAAACTTTGATTACAACTACAAATATCGCAATCAATGTCTTCTCAATTTTTTTGACTATATCCTAATCCCTCAAGGAAATATAACTCAAAGATAATCTGTCAATGATTTCTCAAGTAATCTAACTAACACTTAGTCACTCAAGAAATTTAACCACAAGGTTAAGAATACATAATTTGTGTGTTTACATAATTGCTTCTTGAATAAGTGTAGCGATAAAAAATGTAGCGGGGTAAATCGGAGATCGAACTATTAATTAATTCGTCTCACAAAAGCAAGAGTCGCCACCGCGTTTTATTATTTCCAAGGGAAAAAGGAAAAGAGCGAAATAAAACCCTAAAGTATGCAATGTAAAATAATACTTCCTAAAAGTAATAAAAATACAAAGCGTTTTTGAAAAGAGGTCTATGGTTCGGGGGTTGGTTATACAATGGGAAGGTATTAGCACCCAATGCGTCTATAGTATCCTATAGGAACCTTTTTGAAATATCTGTTTATTAAAATTTGTTCGTTGGATTAAAAATAAATTGTTTAGGCCGAAAAGGGGTACGGACGAGTTTTTTGAAGGTACGACGACCTAATGTCGAAGTTTTGACTTAAAAGGTATAAGTTTTGAAAAGATTGAATATTTGAGGAGAAATTGTCTTAAGTTTTAATGAGATGAAGATATTCGCGTGATTGGATTTGAGGACATGAAGTCAACAAATTTAATCATTTTTTCTCTTGGATTTAGACGTAAACAGAATAAACAAGTAAAGACGGAATAATCAAACAGAAAACTAGATAGATAAAGATTAAGTAGCTAAGTGATATATGACCATAACAATGATTGAATAAACAGACTAAATGGCGTGAACATGCATTTTATATTTTTTTTCGTTTAATATGTACAAAACAAGATAATTAATTAAAGAAAAATAAAATGTTTTAATTCTTAAATTTCTATTTTTTATATATTTTTAGTATTAATATACAAATAATAAAATGACTTAATGTCTTATGCTAATTTAAGTATTTTAACTAATCCTTTATATATAAAGTCTTAATTAATGTAAAAAGGGATTGTTCATTATGAATTAATATAAATAAAATTAATATATTTAATTAAATTATATATGAAAAAAATGATTTGTATTATTTAAAATTATAAAAGAAAGGTGAATCAATTTTTTGTTTAGGAATGTTTAAAACAAAATAAAAAGAAAAAAAGAAAGGGCCAAAGAGTTTTAAGGGCCCAAAACAGAAATGAGATGGGGGTGTCTCAAGAAATTCGTTTGGGGCTTCTAGGCAGGGAAACGGGTCAAGCCCAATTATTTCTCACAATGCTTAGGGTCATCAGATTTTTGTTTTACTTGAGTTAGGGTTAGCAAAGGGTACAGCGCCGCTACTCTTCGTTCACGCGTTCTTCTTCGTTCGTCTTCTTCGTTGCTCTCATGCCCGCTTCTGAACTTCCCTTGCCCGAGCCACCAACGCTACTTCTGTGTTCTCCTTCCCGCGATTAAGCACGCGATAGTTCAAAGGTTAACTTTCGTTTTTATCTCTTGGGTTTTTTATGATTTTTGCATGTTCATGATTTACATCCATTTTGATTCTGACTCTATTTTACATGTGGTTTCTGTTGAGATGGTGGAAAGGAAAAAAGAAAAAGCATAGCTACCTTTATGAAGGAGGAGGAAGAGGCGTTCCGGAGGCTTGCTGGCGGAGGAGTGAAGCGCGGTGGCTTGGAGTCCTGGTATTTCGTTTCTTACTTCTTTTGTTTGGTGATGAAATCCTGAAAACAAAACTTTATCCTTTTCTCTTGCTGCTTCTTTGCTTCGTATGCTTCTTTTCCTTCTTCTTTCTGTGGGCTTGATGCTTTGCTTCTGTGAACTTTTGCCCAGTGATGAGACTGTCTGAGGGCTTTTGATGCTTGAATGAGTTGCCTTGAACGTTTCTTTGTTTGGTGGCCTTGATGCTTGGATGCTTGAATACTTTTCCTCTCTTCTTTCGACCTCGCTCCTGTTGCTTTCTTTGTATATTGGCCTATGATGAAGTTTTTCTGAGGCCTGATGGGTTTGGAAATTGGTTTGATAAGTTTGTATTGTTCTGGTTTTTGGCTTTGGGCGTATTATGGTTCATGGCTATGGCTTTAGAACTGGGCAAGTTTCTTGTTGTTTTATTGCAGGTTCTATGGTTTAAGGCTTGAACACAGGTTGAAGCCTCTTGACAGGTTTACTGTTTTTTTGGTGTCAGTTTTGGCATGGAATGGTAAGGTTTGAAATAGGTACAGGTTTCGGGCCTGGAGACTGGTTTTAGGCTTTGACAAGGTTTCACAGGTTTTATGGTTTTAGGCCATACTGGTTGTTGCTTTGGTGAGGCTTTTCTGGTTTTTCTGGTTAGGCTGGACAGTCTAGTGTTTTTCTGGTTTTTCAAGCCATGGTTATTGGTTTTGAGATAGCAGGTTCTTGAGATTTTGGTCTTGAGACAGCAGGTTCTTGAGGCTTTTTTTTTTACCTTAAGAATTGACTTGGTATTTGTTTGACAGTTTTGAGTTTTTAGGCTTCCAACAGGTTATGAACTCTGGCTTTCTTTTGAAGAGTTTGTGTTGTTTTATAATAGTTGGTTCGCTTGGCTCTGATGGTTCAGGTTCTGAATATTTTTACTATTTTCCTTTGATATCTCTGCACATCTAGTGTTCCATTCAGTTTGCTTTATCCTTTTCTATACTTCCTTTCTTACTGTGTTACTGCAGTTTTGTTTTATATCCCTTTTCTGCCTAAGGCCAAAACCTGTAAAACCCACACTCTTTTCTCTCTTCTCTCTCCTTAGTACAGTTGAAACATTAAAATGTTATATGTACTTTGTGTTCTGAAAAAGCAAAGCTGGAAAATGATGAATTTAGGAACATTTCTTGCATATTTGGTTTTAATCTGTACATGTTTCTCTTTGCCATCTGCATTGTTACAGTAGAGGAGCCTTGTGTTTTTGACCTCTTCCCATACATTGGGTAGTTTACGTTGGACTTTTGTGTTGAAAATGTAACTTTGACTATGCAATGTGCAATTTGTTCTGAAATATGCAGTTTTGACAAAAATTGGATTTGTGCAATTGGTTTTGAAATATGCAGTTGGCTTTTGAAATGTGCAATTGATTTTGAACTATGCAGTTGGTTTTTTGAAATATGCAGTTGGTTTTGAAATATTGAATTTGTGCATATTTTTAACTTGTGCATTCATATTTATCAATAAATAAACATCCCTTTTTGTGAACCGGGAGAAATCCCGTGATTTGCAAAGAGGGTAAAAAACTGATTTCAGCCGTTTGCTTTTAATGATGAACGCTAAATTAATCGTCTGCTTTTAATTATATATCTTATTTCTGACTTTTTCTTTTAATTCTTTGCAGGTAAAATCCAATGAGCATCAAAGAAGTATTGGATAGAAGATGAAGATTTAGAACTTAGAAAAAATTAGGATAGTTTTTATTTCACTTTAAACATTTGTAAAATTATCATTGTAAATACGTTGTAAATAAATATGGTATTTAAACAACAACTGTAACAATTAGAATAAAATGAATAAAACTCCAATATTTTACCAGTTAATTCTTTTCTTCTTTCCAATTATTTACTTTATCATTTATAATTCTTAAAATTATAATAACTGAAAATAAAATTTCAACTATTTAAATTCAGAATAATAAACAATTAAATAAACATCATTGATCAATAAACTTCTCTTCAATTATTTACTTCATTATTTATAATTCTCTAAATTATAATAACTGAAAATAAAATTTCAACTATTTAAATTTAGAATAATAAATAATTAAATAAACATTGTTGATCAATTAATAAACTTCTTTTCAATTATTTACTTCATTATTTATAATTCTCTAAATTATAATAACTGAAAATAAAATTTCAACTATTTAAACTTAGAATAATAAATAATTAAATAAA